TGTCCTGTTGTCCACAATTTGGGAATAAATCCGGATTCGGAGTCCATGCGCACTGATTAGTCCAGATTATTGACCCCTGGGGGGTAGTGATGGGAAGTTCGGATCACTGACTTGGATCTTTGAATCTCGTTCAGCAAAATGAACGAATCTTTTTCAAGTCATTTACTTAATTTCAGCAGAATATAATTAAAAAGTTACATGTTAATATCCAAAGAGAGATGATTAGTTCACCTCCCGAGTCTTCAGGTCCAAGTCGTTCGTTCTTTTGTCACGTGACCGCACGTGATTCGGGAGATGAACTAATAATTTCTCTTTCATTTGAATCATTTGGAAGGGTAAGGGCGACGTTGCGGAATGCTCCAACTACCGGCCGATTCGCCTTTTATGCCACGCCATGAAGATTTTTGAGCGAATCTAGGATGCCAGACTACGCCAGATCGTCACAGTCACGCCGAATCAATGCGGCTTCTTCAAAGGTAGCGGAACGACGGACGCCATCCACGCCACCCGGCTCCTCGTAGAGTGATACCGGGAGAAGAACAGGCGAGTCCACGTGACCTACCTGGATCTTTGCCATCAATGCCGTCAAAGCATTCGACAAAATTACGCACGACCTAATTATGGACACGGTGACGGCCGACATCCAAACCGCCCACCCGTGGTCGCTCCTCTTCGCTGACAATGTATTCTTGGCAAGCAAAGACCGTCAACAGCTGCAAGACCAAATGCAGCAATGGAAGACTCGACTGGACAAGTACGGATTGTGGCTAAACATCAAGAAGACCGAGTATATGGAATGCGGGCCTCAGACAAACGGAACCATCAGCATTGACGGCAAAGATCTGAAGGCGGCGACCAATTTCAAGTATCTCGGATCTGTCATCAGCAGCGACGGCGACACCCTCCCGGACGCCCGAACCCGAGTCAACGCCACCTGGATGAAATGGTGCCAAGTCACCGGTGTCCTGTGCGATCGACGAATGCCCATTCGAATGAAAGCCAAGATTTACAAGACATAGCCCATAGCCCTCTATGGATCGGAGTGTTGGCCGGCAACATCCAAGCATGAGCAGGCCCTTCGCGCAATGGAAATGCGAATGCTGTCTTGGTCTGACCCGATGGGACCACGTGACAAACGAAGACGTCAGAAAATGAAAGGCCTATCTGTAACCTTTTTAGCTGTATGCATAATCTTTCATGTCAAATTATTACAATTGATCAATAAATTCAATATACACTATAGGGCTGTTACCAGTCAGATTAAATAATTTACACTGCAAAATTACAACGGCAATAAATAATGTTATGAGATTAATGTTTTAATTACATTTTTGGATATACAAATAAGAAATGCAAGGGTGGCTACTGATGTTCTCGTGAGGCTAAATATTCCTATGTGTGGTTTAAGGGATCAGCCATATGATGGTGCTGCCAATATGTATATTCAAAGCCATATTTTCAGCAGTAACAGCAGGTTCAGAAGGACCATCAATATCACTCAGACCATTGTGCCCAACAAGGTGGACAGTGCAAGGTAAAGCTATCAAAGTAGTGCAGTGGTTTAAAAAGGGTAAAACCGTGCTTGGAATATTTTTTGGAATTAGAAATGAGTTATGAGTGTCTTAACAAGTCCCTGCAAAACATACAGAAACTATTGCAAGAATGAGAAGTGCAATAGCGTGTGTCAGATCCAGTCTACAAGGCAAAATGTATGAGGAAAGCTCTCAGGAGTTAAAAAAAAAAAAAGCAGTGACAATGGTTGACTTCCTTGGGATTGAGTAAATTCAGATTCCTCACCAAAGACAGCCACCAAAACGATATACTGGTGGGGCAAGCCAGCATACTCCCAAGTCACCTTAGGAGCATTACAGAACAGAGTTCTATAAAATGCTAGATAGTGTTGATGCTCAGCTTCAGGTTCTTCAACGAACCAGATCTAGATGTCTTGCAGAAGCTAGAGGAAACTCTACTGACTGGATAAGTAACCGACACTGTTGATTGGTACCCAGAACTGAACAGGGAGAGTCTGAAAGTCTAGTTAGCCATGTTTCGGTCCAAAAACACTTTCAAATCCAGTTCTGAATTAGCTAATATCATGAGAGGAATGCCAGTTGAAGTGAGAAGCTTATTTGATCAAGATGAAACCCTTCTAAGGCTGCTTTTAGTTGTCCCAGTCTCATCAGCTGAGGCTGAAAGAAGGTTCAGTGCTCTTAAGGAGACATGGCTCAGAACAACAATGGCACAAGAAAGACTGAATAGTCTTGCTGTGTGCCACATCCACCAGGACAAACTGGACAATATTAACATGAATCAAATATGCCAGCAGTTAATTTGTTAATGTCAGACGCAGACATGCTTCTTCAAATAACAAGGAACAAGACAAGTAGACATTAATGTTGACGATTGCATTGCACTATGAAATGTCATTATGACGAGTTGTGTGAAGATGAACGCCTGTCCTACACAGAACGATATTTCAGATTCAACATTTTTAACATTAATCTGGACACAATAATCAATCGGCTCTCTCAAAGATTCAACAGTATGCGAGCAACTAGAGATGTGACGGTGTGGAGATTTTCACACGGGTATATAAACTTGCGTTATAACCGGTATTATGGGTAACACCGGGGAGGCGGGGCTTTGGACGCTTTCAAATTCGCAATCTTGGTATCACATTTTACAAGAAAAGATAACTGTCTGTTATGAAATTAAAGGTGTAAAAATGGAAGCACAAGACTAAAATGAATGCTTAAAAGATGGATTCGTTATTATTCTTAATGGAGAGCACAACAACAATAAAATAGTACATTGACAAACTAGTTTACATAACGTTAACAAAAAAATTAACAAAGTTAATAAAAACGAAGTCGAGGCATGGCATACACCACATACTGTATTATATATCAACTAATAAATTACAGAAAGTTTAGCAAACACCGTGGAATCAAATAAATAAAATAAATAAATAAAAGAGCCTCCATAGCGTAACATCAGGTAAACAGCAAAGAAAACAGGCTTTTCAAAAGGAAAACAAAAAGAAAAGTAAAACTAAATTGGCTGTCGGTGACAGTGCTTGCTTGTTTTTTGCCAAGAAATCAACTTGTTTACCTATTCTTGTTTAAAAAGCATTCTTTTTTTACTTTTTTGAGTGCAGTATTGAGCAGAGCAGACGCTTTCAAACTGAACTAAATTTTTTAAATTTCTATAAAAAGCAAAACGAAAGTGCGTGCGGTACCGCGGTGGGCAAGTATGTATTTGGTGTATGGTCAAACACTGGGTAATACTGGTAACACTGGCTACCCAGGGGGCACAACTGGGGGCAGTCATGACCTAATGTTTAGAGAGTCAGACTTGTAACCCAAAGGTCATGGGTTTCAGTCTCGGTACCAGCAGGGATTGTAGGTGGGGTGGGGTGGGGGGGTGAATGACTCTTCCACCCTCAATACCATGACTGAGGTGAGACCCTTGAGCAAAGCACCGAACCCCCAACTGCTCCCCGGGTGCCACAGCAAAAATGGCTGCCCACTGCTCTAAGTGTGTGTGTGTTCACTACTCATTGCCGTGTGTGCACTTGGACGGTGCTCGCAAGCGCCCCCTTTGCGGCTGCTGTGCGCCCTTAATGCGCACTTTTGCCGACTTGCGCTGAGGCGAGCTCCACAGCAGACTTATACCCTACAGTTAAAGTGGTATTACATAATGAAAGTGTGGACTCAGAGGAACACCGTGAGGGTTTAGGGTGCCATTTGGGACAGGACCAGAGTTAATGAATGGAATGGGTGGTCTGTGGGAGTGATATATGGGCACTAGGATGTACTGTGACTAATCAAAAAATATAGTTATTTTCAAAATGTTATGTTGACTTTATGTAACTGAATTATATAAACATATTAATTGTAATTAATAAATGCCTATATTTTAAAATAGTTAACTTTCCATGAATATATGAATATTACATTTGATAAAGTAATTTTAGCAATAACCAGAAAATGTACTAATTACATTGTAAGGCTGGCTTGATTTCCTGATAGGATTGTACTCAGAAACTCACAGGAAAAGACCCCAAACTATAAAACTATTTATCTACAAATCTGGAGAAGAAAAATTATGAAGCAAGGACACAGAAAGCTATTTGCCTATAATCTTCTCTGCTCAACCAAGACCAATTTCACAGCAGTCGCATATATTAAAATAAAGATTCACAGCGTAAGAGCCTGTTGAAAGCTGTGTCATTGCCAAACAATAATAGAAATCATCACATACACTCTCCGTTTATTAATGTTAGGATTTGCCATGCCATTTTAGCTACTTTTATTACAAATCCATTACTTTGTAAAGGAGAACTTTAATTCTGTGGTAAGTTTTATTTATATATATTTTTTTAATTTTAAAGTAAATTTTAAAAATTAAATAATCTAAATTAGGCTCTAATGTATGGGCTATCTCAACGATGTTCGGTGCACGAGAATGCATTCATCATATCATACAGAGACCCAGGATACCCAATAAAATACAGAGGAACTTCCCCTTGTGGTCAGTGATGGCCTGTAGCTGGACAGAGTGAAACAGCTTTGATGCAGATGTTACATCTATCGCACCACCTACTACACGGAAAGCTGGAGACCCAGCCATCTGGATGAAACCTGCTCCTACTGCGGAAAACAATCAGGCTCCTATCAATCAAAATGCCAATGACTGCCTGGCTCATGCTCAGAGAACTTGGAGATGTCGAAGGCCAGTGGCACCACTCTGTATTTGGTTGTTGACGCACAGGAGTGTTTTGTTCTCTATACAAAGACTAAAATAAATAAATTCATAAATTCATGAATGAACTATGATGTCAATACATTGAAATATATATACAGTGGGTACGGAAAGCACACACACACACACACACACACACACACACACACATACACACACGTACATGCATAAATAATTATAAACATATAGATAAATAAGCCAACATAGGAAACAAAAGTCTTGTCCATTTAAATTATATGTAATTATACAGACCTATTGCCACCTGAACACTGCTGATTTCTTTGACTATATTGAAGATAGAGCTGAAATCCTCTGCATATCCTTTTCACCCTGGACTCCATTTCCTAGAAACCTCTGCCAAGGGACTGATTACGTCATCAGACTAGGCCACCTTCTTCCATTGCTCCGTGGTGCAGTTCTGATGCTCACATGCCCACTGTTGGTGCTTTCGGTGCTAGACAGGGCTCAGCATGGACACCCTGACTGGTCTGTAGCTATGCAGCCCCATACGCAACAAACTGCGATGCACTGTGTATTCTGACACCTTTCCATCAGAACCAGATGCTCTGACCCAGTCGTCTAGCCATAACTATTTGGTCCTTGTCAAACTTGCTCAAATCCTTACGTTTGCCCCTTTTTCCTGCTTCTAACACATCAAAATGTTCACTTGCTGCCTAATATATCCCACCTACTAACAGGTGCTGTGATGAAGAGATAATCAGTGTTATTCACTTCACCTGTCAGTGGTCAATGTTATGCCTGATGCACTTTCAATTTGCCTGCTTCACCTGGTATGCTGATCAGTTAAAATATCAAACAAACACCATGCATTAATGTATTGATGTAAAGCCACTCGCTTCCGTTTTGTTCTTTCACAATTTCATTAGTCAACAACATAACTTGGATTCTGATGAAAATCCTCAGGTGAACACCAGCTCCCCAATATCCGTCCTGTCATCTGGTATGATGTGCGTTCTTTAACAATAATTCTGTTTAATTGATTATAAAGAAGTGCTATTTATCTGACTTCATGTATGGCATTTTGTTAGTAGCAGAGAAGGAACCAAAGAAACAAAAAAACAATCACCATGGAGAAATTGTTTGGTATGTGAAATGTTAATTAGACATTATTAAATAAAACAGGAACAAAAAAAAACACATTCTTGAGAAAATAAGAGTTGACTATGAGTGAACCTGATTATTCTTTTTTTTTCAGATTTCAATACTAAGATGCTCCAACATATCCAAATGTTGGAAGAGAGGCAAACTGTCATCATGAAAGAACTGGCAAAAATGAAGGCTGTTCTCAAAGCGGGCAGATGAAGATGGCTGTGAGGAACGTTTTAAACAACAACAATGTTCCAGTTCCGGAACATTTGAAGCCTTCTGTCAGAAGCTTGAAGAGGACAAAAATTACAGAGTGCTTTATGTTAGTGAGGCTACACAAATATTCAGTGTATTTCAGGAAAAAAAATCTGTTTAATTTATTATTTATTTAGTGTGCAGGTGATAATGTGTTTTAAAATGTTAAGCCTGGCATCTTTTAATTACAATAAATTCTGTATGTTTTTGTCAGGTCAACTATCTCATCCACAGTGCTCCTGAAATGTTTGAAAAGTAAGTGAAGATTTTGAAGTTTGTGCATCTGAACACTGCTATAGAAAATGTAAATGCCAAGACCAGTAGTTGTTAGCAACTGATTGCAATGACATATCGTTCTCTGTGTTTCAGGATGTCAAGTCTTTCCAAGCGGACAAAGAAATAGAAGTTAAGAATCGAAAAGGAGTCACCAAAACAACGGCAGAAGCAGAATGTATCCGTGGCTTGAATATTCCGTAGAGCGCGATGCATGCTTTTGTTTTCCGTGGCGAGTGTTCGGTGTTGCTTTCGAAAATGACACTTTCGTTTTGACAGGTTTTCGAAACTGGAAAGCAGCATTAGAACGTGACCGCGGTCTTCAAAAACATGTGTCTAGCCAGGCTCATTTACAAGCCTCGGCCGCATGGACAGTGTTTTGCCACCGCCAAGTGTCGGGGGAGACCGTAGCAAGTTTGCTCGGCCCCCAACGGATAGAAAAAAAGTCGCTATTACATAAAAAACATGGCAGGTGTTGTTAAGTTTTTAGCGGTCAATGAGCTTCCACTACGTGGGGATCGGGAAACATTTGACAGTGAGGAGGATTGCATAGCTGCGGGGCTTTTTGCCAAGTTGTTTAAGTACACGATGGAAAAAGAAATACCTTGCTGACATTACATCACATATCCCAACAACATGACAAGTACACTTCCAAAACCGTTCTGAAAAAAAGAAAAAAACGAAATATGACACTGCTGATTCAACTGCATTCGGTTTAAAAAGTGATGGCACAAGTGATCGGTGCAACATTGAAAATTTGTCTGTTGTAATTCGCTTTGTTCGCAATGGTGTGCCAGAGGAACATCTCGTTGGCTTGTTAGAACTCCAGCAGCTTACATCACCACTGAAATATTACAACACTTGTCTGAAACAGGATTCAGTGCTGACAATATACTGAGCCAGTGTTATGATGGAGCATCGGTGATGAGTGGGGTGTGAGGTGGTGTTCAGGCTTTATTGCAACAAAGGTTGGGCAGACATACCCCCTACATCCACTGCTATAACCACCAGCTTTACCTCTCAATCATACATGCAATTCAAAGTGAACCTTGTGCCAAAAGATTCTTTGACTTGTCAGGCTCCCTGTACTCTTTTTTCAGGCATCATTTTGTCAGTCAGAGATACAGTTGCCCTTATCTCAAAAGACTGTTGGAAATCCGCTGGAAAAGTCACTATGAAGTCACAAAATGAAAGTCATTCTTGACATTCTTTCCAAGGTTACCAATGACGACAATGCATCCGTTGACCTTGCAAAAGAAGCCTCTGGGCCTTCTTTCTCAGCTGAAGCGACGGCACTTTTTTGATGTTGGCAAATTTCTGATACATGTTCTCGCCATTTTAAAACCAGCAAATGCCATCCTACAGTCTCGGCATGTTGATTTGTGCAGTGCAGCTGCGGTTGCGCAAGGATGTCTTGGCGCCCTGAGAAATCTCAGAGAAACTGACAGTGAATTGCAGCAGTTCTGCACTGGCATGACTACTGTTGAGCCCTCACCAAAACGTCTAAGGACTGTCAATACCTCTTATGCTGACTCTGTCCTGCTTGCCCTGAAGGTGAAAAAAATGAGTCGGGCTCTGAATGTGCCACTGAAGCTCTAAGGCCACAGATGTTGAACATACTAGATACAGCTGTATCAGAAATGGAAAACAGGTTTTCCACAAAGAATTTAGAGGATGCAAGCCCTCTCATGTTTGATGCCAAAATCCAACAGATTTCTTGACATTCAGTTGCTTGAGCCTCTCTGTAGTCTTGCAGGGGTTGCAAAAAATGAACTTCAGAATGAAATTCTTGTTGCCAGACCAATGCTCACCAAAAAGTTTCCAAATGATGCTGACTGTTTGCAAACTCTTGCAGGAATACAAACAGGCATTTGCAGGTCTTCATAAATTGTATGTATCTGCAGTGGTCATGTGTGCCTCTACTGCTTCATGTGAGAGCTCATTCTCTACTCTGGCAAGAATTTTGACACCATTCAGCCGAACAATGCTTCATGAGAGGAAAACAAACCTTGTACTTTTAGCTCATGAAAAAGCAATAACACATGAACTGGACATGGATGAGTTTGTGACAGAATTCTCTAAAACAAGCAGAAAGCTAATGCTGTAATTATTATAGTGATATAAATAGTTATTTTTCCAAGACCTGCCCTGTTTTCATCAAATCTAAAGTTACTAAATAGACACAGGATCTGTCATGGGGTTAAAAAAAAGACTGTAAATACATAAACGTACATAAAACATACATATAAGCAATGTATATAAAAAAAAATCTTAAGAAAAATAGAATTTCAGGAAAAATTAACATTTTGAGTTTGTGATTCGTTTTTGAATGAATCCGCGTTTGGAACAAATCGGGTGAACCAATGATTTAATATAGCGCATTCATAAAGAGACCCTAATGAATCAGCCATTTGAACGAATCGAATGAACAACTCAATAACTTACTTAAGACATTTACTGCCACCTACTGGAAGTTTTAGTTTCTTATTTAGAGTATAATTTTAATTAAAAAAAAGTTCCATATGAAAATCCATATAAATTTCATATTAATTAAAAAAATAATTACAGGGATAGTACCCTGGACATCCTTCTTAAATATCTCTGTTGTGCAATACAAATATCAATTTCATATGAAACTTGTATGTTAAATGCATCCATATCTTTTATATCACTGATCAACAAAAGTGTTTGTACATTCAACTGTAAATGTTCCTTAATCTTTGCCCAAGTTGCATGTACAGCAAGCCGAGATAGCAAATAGATTTTGAATTTTGCCTGTTACTAAATGTATCATTTAGTACCTTTAACAGTGCAGATTCAGTACTATGGTGGGCCTTAAAACCTGATTGATAAACCTCATAAACAGCATTCTTAAAAAATATTTAAGGAGGATGTCCAGGGTACTATCCCTGTAATTATTTTTTTTATTAATATGAAATTTATATGGATTTTCATATTTGACTAATAATAATATAAAAATGTTAATTTTATATATAAAAAAACCTGCATAATTTTGATGTACATATGGAAGTAATTAAAGAAGCTTAATATAACATAAAAAGACAACATTAAAAAAAAACAATTTTTTTTTTTTTTAGAAAAGTTTTTTTTTAGGTCCGTTTTGACTTACGAATTTAAAGTGTGACCACCAAACAAATAGTACAGCAACAGAAAAATAACACAATTGGCACATTTACTGAGTCTAAGTACACACATACCATGTTATTCATTTACTCAAGAAGGTCTTGGGATCCAAACAATCAAGCCCTGAGTTCTGGTGTCTTGGTTATTGCCAGCTTGAGAATTGCCCAGTCACTGTTACTGTGGATAGTGAGGAGGTCTTAAAAGGAACAGTGGAGTTTCAAGGTGAACAGTGCCTTCACAATCGCACTGAACTAAAGAGACGACCTGCTAGAGCAGATGACAGACACATAATAGGTCTACAACTACAAAAGCAATTACCACAAGCCATGTATCTCAAAAAATTAAGAGATAAAAGAACACATAATGGAATCTGGCTGTAGAGACGAGGCTCCTACCCCCAACATATTAAAAAACATTTCTTGGGAAGTACGACAGAAAAGCTGTCAGCACAGCAAAGAGATGCTCAGCCTACAAATAATGCTAGGGAAAAAAAGAAAAGTGATGCTGCACCCAAAAGATGTTCAGCTCTGGTCATCGAGGAGCATAGAGATTTATCGAGAGCGATGCCAGGAGGACACTGTTTATCTGGATGCCTCAGAAAGAAGGAGAGCCCTTCTGTTTCTTTACAACGCTGCCTATGTTTATGAGCTGGTTGTCAGGAATCTAGGTTACCTGTGACCACACCACAGCCTCTGTGACATATTTCCTTGAGGCTTTTCAGACTGATGTTGCAAGGCAGTTTGGATGGAAACGGATGCAGTCACCAATCATGCTTCTCTGTGATGGTTCAATGGATCTAATGCAGGCAAATTGTATGTCATTTGCAAAGAAAAATCTGCATGATACCATCAACCACTACTACAACATTGCCTGTGGAAAAGGTACTAAGGAAGATTTTGAAGTGCCCTTTCTTCATAGATGCCTCAGTCATGTTATGAAGAATGTCCCAATTGACAAGGAAGTTGAACCCAACGTATACCACTGCAAAGGACTTGTGGATCACCTTAAAAAGTACCTTCTTCCTTATGCTGGGTTGTGGACAGAGATAATGCTAGGTTACTCATAATTATGCAACATAGTGTTTATAAAATATATAAACAATATTGTTGCTATTGTGTTTAACTTTTATATTATTAAAAAAAAAAATAAAATTAATCCTTACAAACAAAACAGGACAACAATACACAGGGCATCATGGAGAAAAGCCAATGGGATTTGAAGCATAGACTCACTAGGCTGGATGATTTTGTGGCCCGCTACCAGATTTGTCACATTGCTCTGCTGAAAGAGTATGAAGACTCAAAAGGAATGTTTAGAAGAAAGATTTGCAAAACATTTAATGAGAATTTTTTTTAATGCATTTTAAAAATTAAAAAATTTAAAAATCAGTATTGTCATTGCATTGCACACAAATTATGCAATGCAATAACAATACTGAAAATTACATACAATTGATGTCTGTACAAGCTCTGCAATGGTATTTCAGTGCTCAATGACTGCTTCCATCAATACCGCTCACTTCATACAGACATTCAGAGCGGACGAAGAGAAATGGAAGGAACGGCAGCAGAAGGAAAGAAAAGAGGGAGATATGTAACACCAGTCCGCAAGCTATTCCACTTCATCAACCAAAAAGGTTTACTGTAAATGCAATGATACCTTCTTAGATAAATAATTAATACTCATCGGTGACACATAAAAAAAAAAAAACTCCAATAATTTTGAAATCTACCAAATTTTGGAGTGCTGTATTACATTATAACGTCACATAAAAAAAATCTAAACAACAAATAATTATTTTGCAAGAAGTCAAATTCGCTAAACTAAAAAAAAAAAAACATGAAAAAAGCACAGATTAATTGTATTAGGCTATTTTGACTACTCCATTACAGTAGTCACTTTACAGTTACTGCCATCATAAAAATACAACTTGAAAGTTCTACATATAGCACATTTATTGTCCATCAACAAATATTTGAGCAAAAT